GGTCAAGAGATCGAGACCATCCTGGTCAACATGGTGAAACCCCGTCTCTACTAAAAATACAAAAAATTAGCTGGGCATGGTAGCGCGTGCCTACTCAGGAGGCTGAGGCAGGAGAATTGCCTGAACCCAGGAGGAGGAGGTTGCGGTGAGCCGAGATCGCACCATTGCACTCCAGCCTGGGTAACATGAGTGAAACTCCGTCTCAAAAAAAAAAAATAAATAAAATAAAATAATAAAAAACAATCATTTTTCATCAATGAGCTACATAGATAATTGCATGAAATGTAACTAATGAAAGTACATAAGTATCAGGCCAGGCACAGTGGCTCATGCCTGTAATTCCAGCACTTTGGGAGGCCAAGGCAGGCAGATCACGGGGTTAGGAGTTCGAGACACCTGGACAACATGGTGGAACCCTGTCTTTACTAAAAATATAAAAAATTAGCTGGGCATGGTGTCGCGTGCCTATAATCCCAGCTACTCTGGAGGCTGAGGCAGGAGAATTGCTTGAACCTGGGAGGCAGAGGTTGCAGGGAGGTGAGATTGCACCACTGCACTCCAGCCTGGGCAGAGTGAAACTCCGTCTCAAAAAAAAAAAAAAAGTACATAATTATCATTAAAAAGAAACATGAGAAATTGCATGGATTTTTGTTATTTGTTTTGTGTGCTTAAACTTTAGGCTTAGAGATTTTATCTTTAAATATTCCTTTTTTTCTTTCCATTAATCAGGCAAAACACATTCTTGGTCCTAAGAGATTTCCATGGGCTTGTTCAAGTTATCATTCCCCAGGATGAGGTAATAGAAAATTTCCTGTCATTATCTAAGCCTCTTTGATGCTGTGGCTAGGGTAAGCTAAGTAGTTAAATTAATATGTTTGACGTTTTATATTCAGAAGTTTATTGTTAATGAAAACTGCAAAATATCATAAGCAATATTAAGACATGGCAAAAAGACCAGTGACTTAGTAGAATTATGAACCCAGGTTTCTCAATGAGGAAAAAAAAAAACAAAAAAATAGTAATTATGAACCCAGGATATTAACAAAAAATTTAGAGGAAAAAATACATAAAAGGCTTGTAGACATAATGAAAGTATGCCCAGCCTCACTCATAGGTAGATAAATACGAATTAAAACTGCATGTAATTGTCATTTTTAACACATTAGATTGACAACACACTGTGTTTGGGAAAGCAGGTGTTCAGTTCCTGGAGGGAGTACAGATTGGCACTAGCTAAGGGGAGCGCAATTTGGCAATATCAAAACTATAAATGCATATATCTTTTGAGCCAATAATTCCACTTCTGGTAAATTAT